AGAGGGAACAGCATGACTGTAGTGGATTGAATCGTGTCCCCCCAAAACTCACTGAAACTTGAATTGTGTTCCCCAAGCTTTATGTATTAGAAACTTAACCCCCGGGCCGAGCCTGTGGCGCACTCGGGAGAGTGTGGCACTGGGAGCGCGGCGACACTCCCGCCGCGGGTTCAGATCCTATATAGGACTGGCCGGTGTGCTCACTGGCTGAGCGTGGTGCGGGCGACACCACACCAAGGGTTGCGATCTCCTTACCGGTCAAGAAAAAGACAAAAAAAAAGAAAAGAAACTTAACCCCCACTGTGATTGTTAACAGGGTGGGAAATCCTATTATGGTAATTGGAAGGTGGAGCCTGGAAGAGGTGATTGGATTATAGGACCATGCAGTAGTGAACGGATTAAGAAGAAAAGAAACTTAACCCCCACTGTGATTGTTAACAGGGTGGGAAATCCTATTATGGTAATTGAAGGTGGAGCCTGGAAGAGGTGATTGGATTATAGGACCATGCAGTAGTGAACGGATTAAGAATGGTGGTCATGGGAGTGTTTCTGAGGGCTTTAAAAGAAGAGGACAGTCTGTCTGTCTCTCTCTCCTCTCTCTGCTTTCACCACCTTGCAGTGTGAGACCACTGGGTCCCTGTCGCCTCCACCAGATGGTCTTTAGACCTCCCAGCCTCAGAAACCATAAGCAATAAATTTCGTTTTCTTTATAAAATACCCAGTTCCATGTATTTTGTTATAGCAACACAAAAAGGACTAAAACAATGACCATTCAGGGAATTCAGCCTAATTGGCACAAAGAGTGCCTGTGTACATAGAGGAATATAGAGAGAGGCTGGGGTCAGAGCAAGAAGATTCTCAGTGCGCTAAAATTTAAACTTTATCCTAAAGGCATGGGGAGTTCCTGAAGGCTTTTAGTAGGGTAATGACAGGTCTAGAGACCTGATTAATATTCTAGAAAATTCTCTCTTCCTGCCACATGAAGGAGGGATTGAAGTCAGTGATGCCAGAGGTCTTCAGTCTTCCAAGAAGAGGAGGAGGTGACAAGGCCCTCAACTGGGCATGGAAGTAGAAGAGAAATTAAGGAGAAACACTCTCCAGGACTTAGCAACTGGTTGGATGTTGTGGCAAGGGTAAGCAGATTTCCGGCCTGGCAGACTGGATGGAGGGCTTGTTCAATTGTTAGTTACTGCGTACGTAACTAACACAGTTGCTGCTCACGTGGAAGTGACTTTAAAGGTGCTAAAAGTCACCAATCTCAAATGTTTCCTACCTCTAAAGCCTCTCCAGCAGAATCCTTATACCGTAAGTGCTCATTTAATTTTCTTGCCACCAGACTGTGAGCTCCCTAAGGACAGAGACTGGATCCTGTTGGCTCTCATCCTTAGCCTCCAGCAAGTGCCTGACACATTACAGGCTCCCAGTAAATGTTTAGTTAGTGAATGAAAGCATTTTTATCTTCAGATATCCTTTTTCTGAATACAGCTTTATAGAGATATAATTCACATACCATACAATTCATCCATTTAAAATGTACACTTTGATGGTTTTTAATATATTCAGAGTTGCTCAACCATCACCACGATCAACTTTAGAGCATTTTCATTACTCCCAGCAAGAAACCCCACGCCCATTGGTAGTCACTCCCCACTTCCCCTTCCTCAGCCTTAGGCAGCCACTAATCTACTTCTGTCTCTACAGTGCCTCTTTTGGACATTTCATATAGATGGAATCTATGACATATGGTCTTCTGTGACAGGCCTTTTTCACTTAGCATAATGTTTTCAAGGTTTCTCCATGTTGAGCATGTGTCAGTACTTCATTCCCCCCTTTTTTGGCCAAATAATATTCCATTATATGGATACCCCACATTTTATTTATCCGCTCATCAGCGGATGGGATGGAATATCCCTTTTAGAATGAAATCTTCATCCAAAGGGAAGCATGAAGAACATCAACATGTGAGTATGGATTAGAGCACGGAACACAGACAAACATAGTTTGATATGGAAGAGGGGAAACAAGAGGCAAAATGAGTTATTCTCCAGCCCCTGCCCTCCTTTAACTGCTCTCTCACTAACCCCCAAAGAGGGCAGATTTGGGAGGAGAGCCAAAGGCTCTCTGAAAAAAAGTGAGATGAAACGCCAGTACTGATCAAGCTTTATTAAAGGAAATGAATCTGCTGGGCTGCACTCAACATGGAGAGAGCAGCCCCCCTGGCGTTGGTGTCGGGAGGGAGGACTTATATAGGCTGTAAGGAAGGCTGACATAATCAGGGAGGGGTTTGGTGCTGGTGTGGAAGATGAGTTTCTATCTCTCAGAAACCAGGAGGTTTCTCTAAGGGAAAGTCTGTCGGCCATTTTGTGCTCAGTGTGTAAAATGGCGCTGATCATGTCCAAGATGGCCCCAGTCACGTCCAAGATCCATCACTCTCCAGGAGGGAAAGTTCTCATTGCTTAGTCCCATCGGCCTGGTGGTTTATGTAAACCTCGCCAACTACAAGATCAAAAAGTTCATGGAAAGTGCATATTATGAAAAAATTAATAGATTTCAACTTTTTTTTTGCATCATATAAACTTGTATGAACTCGTTACAACATGTCTAAACAGAATCTAGCTTGAGGCACTAAGAAGGAGAAAACATCAGTTTAAAAAGAGCCCTTATCAGAGCAACATGAGTTTGGCTAACATTGAAGCCAAATTTATGATGAAACTTGGGTGGAAGAATGTTGAAATTACGGATGCTTTTTTGCAAAAAGTTTATGGGGACATTGCCCCAAAGAAATCAGCAGTTTACAAACAGATAACTTGTTTTAAGAAAGAGATGATGCTGAAGATGACCTGCAGCCGCAGACTATCCACATCAATTCACAAGGAAAAAATTAATCTTGTTCATGTCCTAACTGAAGAACACCAGTGATTAACAGCAGAAGCAATAGCCAACACCATAAACATCTCAACTGGTTCAGCTTAAACAATTATGAGCGAAAAATTACAGTTGAGCCAACTTTCCACCTAATGGGTGCCAAAACTGTTGTGGCCAAAATCAGCTGCGAAGAGCAGAGCTTTCAATGGAAATTTTAAACAAGCGGGATCAAGATCCTGAAGCTTTTCTTCAAAGAATTGTAACAGGAGATGAAAGATGGCTTTATCAGTATGATCCTGAGGACAAAGCATAATCAAAGCCATGGCGATCAATAGGTGGAAGTGGTCGAGTCAAAGAAAACTGGACTGGTCAAGAGCAGAGATCATGGCAACATTTTTTGTAATGCTAAATGCATTTTACTTGTTGACTTTAAGAGGGCCAAAGTACGATAATATTTGCTTATTATGAGAGTGTTTTTAGAAAGTTAGCCAAAGCTTTAGCAGAAAAACACTCAAGAAAGCTTCACCAAGGAGTCCTTCTTCCACATGACAATGCCCTTCTCATCAAACAAGGGCAATTTTGCATGAGTTTTGATGGGAAATCATTAGGCATCTGCCTTACAGTCCTGATATAGCTCCTTCTGACTTCTTTTTGTTTCTTAATTTAAAAAAAATCTTTAAAGGGCACCCATTTTTCTTCAGTTAATCATGTGAAAAAGACTGCATTGACATAGTTAAATTCCCTGGACCCTCAGTTCTTTAGGGATGGACTGAATGGATGGCATCATTGCTTACAAAAGTGTGCTGAACTTGATGGAGCTTATGTTGAGAAATAAAGTTTACATTTTTAATTTTTACTTTTAATTAGTTTCCTACAAACTTTTTGACGCTCCTGTGTACAGTTGACCACCACCTTCTAGAAGCCTGCTGTGATTTCTCAGGCAGTTTTTAGTTCTATCTTCATAGATATAAATGTCCCACAGAACACTGAACTTACGTTTATTTGCATTTTTCTCATTGTCTTGTAATGGTGAGTAGAGGAGAGAGCACCAGGTTTGAAATCAGACAGTCCTAAGCAGTTCCACCACTTACCACCTGGTGATCATGGGGAAGTCATCTATCTGTGGGCCACAGGGTTGTTGTAAAAATTAAATGAGGTAAAATAGAGGAAATGCCTGTGACATAGTAGAGTGGAAGGGACTCAAAAATCATTTAGTCCATTCGACGCTCCTTCTGAGATGATATTTATGCAAACAAAATTTCTTCTTGAAGCAAACAATATAAAATGAGTTGCAAAGTTCTGAGAACCCCAGGGCTATCCAACTCCTTGATAGCATTGCATTGCTGTGTCTATGTCCTTGACCTGCCACCACCAGCAGTTTCCTTTCGCATTACTTGTTCTCCTTCCTTGCCTTTTGCTAGTTTGAGAGCAACATCGATAATTGTCAAGGTCCCCAGAAAATATACGGACATTCACTTCCCTCTGAAGATTCACACTCCCTAATAAGTGAGTCAGCACTTTCTATTTCATTTTTCTCTCATTTCCTTCACCACCTCTAGTATTTTTTGTATGGTTATCCCCTGCCAAACTCACAGTTCCTGGAACTTAAAGAGGAACTTTGCATCCGGACAGCTGCGGATTCAAGTCCAGGTTCTATCTGGCATCTCTCTCTCTCCATCTCTAAAACAAAGTTAAAGATACCTATTTCTGCAAAGTTGTTCTCATAGTATGTGGGTATTAAAGTGCTTAATATGTGGGTGGTGCTTAAAGGTGACGCATCATGACAATAAGAAAGGATTTATGCTTTGGGGAGGTTCGGCTTTGAGGAGGTCTGGCCCTTTAAGGCAGCGTGGCCCCAGTCGCCGGCGCCGGTCTTTCCGCCCCTCCCTCCGGCCGGAGGCGGGGCGCGCCTCCTAACCCGGAACTGACGGCTGCGCGTAACCGGCGCCGCCAATCCGCGTCTCCCGGAAGGAGCGAGCCTGCGACGCAAGAGCCAGTGAGTGAAAGCGGCGCCGCCCACCGGCCGTGCGCGCGGCAAAGCGGTGTCCCCCGCCTGCTCTCCTGGGGCTCCCCCGCCTGCTCTCCTGGGGCTCCCCCAAAGAAGGAGGGCGGGCAGCGTGCGTCCGCGCCGCGCTTCCCTGCGTGTCTGTTCCCCACACAGGGCCTCCCGTCCCCTGCCGCCCGGGCCCCTGCGTGGGCTGGACCCTCCATCCCCACACATTGGCCCCATCGCGGCGCCCAGGCTCCGTCCGGGTTCCCGGCCCCTGCCCTGTCGCGCCGCCGCCGGAGCGGTGACCGCCCGGCCCGCCGTCCTTCCGCTGCTACCGCTGCCGACACCATGGGCAGTGAGCAGAGCTCCGAGGCCGAGAGCCGAGCCAACGATCTGAACTCCTCAGGTCGGTGTCCTAACCTTCCACCCCCGTCCGGCCGGCCCCGTCTGCGTGCGGAGAGGGCTGCCTCCCAACCTAGTGGGCTCTGGGACGGCGGATGGCAACGTACAGAAAACCCTCACCATGCTTGCTTTAAAAAAAAAAAAAAAGTCACCATCTGTCCTAACCTTGATTCCGCTGATGGAAGCGAATGCAAGCGAAGCCTGCGTGGGCGTCCGTGCCCATGATTTATTTTCAAAACAGCCGTTTCTCCCAGATACGGTCTACTCATTAAAAGACGACCTAATTAATTTTTGGCTCTACTGCTCATGACTGACGTAGAGAGATTTAGCTCACATAGTGGATAGATCACAGACAGGACGTCTAAGAACAGGCTCTTTCTTAAAAACAAGTTTTAGAGGTTCCTTTGCAGAAGGTTTGTGTGATGGCTGTATAATGACTTTGAACCTTTCTCCAGAAACTTTTTCTCCTCAAAAGGTGTCTTGGCCCCTTTTATTATATTGTACAATTCGGCAGGCTCTGGTGTTTTCCTCCATTCTCCACCTGTCCATATTTTTAGATTTCTCTTAGCGTTTGAAGTGGGAATGGGAAGATTGTTGTGCTTGGAATATAGTGAGCATTCAATAAACGAAACAGCTGGTGTTTGACTGAGAACCATTTGCTCCTTTTTTTGTGACCCAAAAGGACAGCTGGGAGTGCTCTGGATAAGCTCCAGGGTTGCTAATCCAAATTGGTTAAGTAGGGGGCCTAAAAAAGAGCCCCTGATGTTAGAACTGCTCTGTTCTTGGTAGGATCTGTAATTCAGAATTGTGGATGCTAACAGATCTAAGGGTGTTTCGCATGGAAGTGTGTCCTTCAAGACTAGTTCAGACATGCATTCTGGGGGCTAGATTGGAACAGCTTTTAATGGTGAGCAGCATCTCCTAGCTTTGCCACATTCTTCTATTTCCTTGAAGGCCCACAATGTCCTATCTGTTGCAACAAATAAGGTAGTAATTGCTATCTCTTACTTTCTTGCCTCTGTGTCAGGCCAGAAGCATATTTTGGGGGAAGGGGTGTGACATCTTTTTAATATGCTTGCTCAGCCATGAACCAACAGCATAGGCTCATTTCTGATGATAGAATTTGCCTGTTTGTTCCCCTGTGCCAAGTGCTATACATAATTTACATTTACTCTTTAAGATAACCCCATTTTACAGATAAGGGAACAGAGGCTAGCTAGAATGTCTTGAAGTCCGTTTTCCTCTGGGGTCTGGGGAAGGAGGAATCACACTTAAATTGTAGTAGGAAAGATTTCTGGCATGGCTTTTGTAAAATGTTAGGTAAATTACCAAAGGAGGATAAGAAATCTTTCTTGAAGAGCAATAAAAGTACCAAAGATTTTCCTAAAAGAGTGAGTGCCAAGCCTCAGGAGACTAGCTTCCAGGAAGCAGAGCAGTTCCATGGCATCTCTGGATCAACCTTTAAGACATGACTGTGATGAGCCTGAGAATACTTCTTTCTAGAGTATGAAACACTTTAAAACTTCATTCGTTCTTGCCTCAACCAGGAAGATATTTGGGGAGAGGAGGATGTCTTTTTTTATTTTTTATTTTTTGGCATTTGACCAGTATGGGAGCCTTTGACCTTGGTGTTGTAACACCGCAGTCTAACCAACTGAGCTAACTGGCCAGCCCAAGTGTCTCTTGATCTAGGGAATCCTTTATATTAGTTTGAATCACTTCCCTCCAAATGGATTACATTTTCCCAAGGAACCTGAAATTGACCGCATCTCTAGCACTTTCTGAATTTTGCCTCAGCCTAGAATGAACCTATTGATTATTTCTGCCCTTCTTGGGCAATGCCATAACTTTAAGGGTGAGGTGGCTGGAGCCTCATGCCTCTCTAGCACTTTCTGAATTTTGCCTCAGCCTAGAATGAACCTACTGATTATTTCTGCCCTTCTTGGGCAATGCCATAACTTTAAGGGTGAGGTGGCTGGAGCCTCAGGAATAGACCTATCATCTGGGGTTGAGACCAGGGGCTTTTCTCATGACTAGGATCTATTAGACATACCAGGCCTGCTGTGACAAGGTAGATAGACCCTTTTGCAACCCCAGCTCACAGGGATGGGCCTGTTCACCAACAACCCATACACCTTCAATTCTTTTCCTAATTCTGTTCCTCACACTGTTGACTTTGGGCAGGTCACAGCCAAATTTTATACCCTCATTTCCTCATTTGTAAAACAAGGACATATGTCAGAGATCAGGAGAATGAAAGAAGAAGAAATTAAAAAACAATCTGCCTATATTATTGTGTGCTGAATAATAAAATATGTTTAGTTATGAAAGTTCATATACGTGCCTGTAATGCTTGAATTTTGTTTATACTATGCAAAATAGATGTCCCCCATAACTCACCTCTCCCACCGCAGCCCCCACCACAAGATATCTACATTTTGTTGTGTGAAAAAAATTTTTTTAATGATTACCCTGAAAGCAGCTTTGGTGAGGCAGAGGTGGCTAACATACAACTCCTGAGCAGTGTAACTTTATTTTCAGTGACTCCTTCTCCAGCTAAGCATAGAGCCAAGATGGACGATATTGTGGTTGTAGCTCAGGGCTCCCAGGCCTCACGGAACGTCAGCAACGATCCTGATGTCATCAAGTTGCAGGAGATTCCCACCTTCCAGCCCCTTTTGAAAGGTAAGGGGTTGTGTTTTGTCTTATCTGAACTTGGCTGGAGAGGTTTGAAGCCTCACTACTCTCTTCCTACATATCCTTACTCTCTCATCTCCTTTAGGTCTTTGCTTAAATGGCAGCTTCTTGGTTAAGCCTTCCTTGGCTGTCCTATTTAAAATTGCAGCCCTTTTTGCTGCTTGTTCTTCTTTGTAGCACTTAATTTTCATTGACCTACTGCAAGTATGCTTACTATTTGCATTTCTGTTAGAATACGAGCTTCATGATGGCAGGAACTTTCCACGTTTTGTTTACTGTTGAATCTCCAGCACTTGAAATAGAGCCTGGTATAAAATAGGGACTGAATGAATGAAAGAATGAATGATGTTGGAGTTGGCTCTTCCCAATTATTTTTCCATGAAAAATTTTTCATTCTTATTTGTGATCTGGACTATGGATTGATTAGTTCAGATCCATAGAGAAAAATCTCCATTATCACTGATACACTTGTGATTAATCCTGGCAACTCTTTTGTATGAGAGGACAGATTACCCACCTGATTAACTTTTTTTTTTTTTTTTAAAGACCAGTAAGGGGATCTTAAGCCTTGACTTGGTGTTGTCAGCACCAAGCTCTCCAAGTGAGCTAACCGACCATCCCTATATAGGGATCTGAACCCGTGGCCTTGGTGTTATCAGCACCACACTCTCCCAAGTGAGCCATGGGCCGGCCCTCTGACTAACGTATTTTATTTTATTTTATTTATTTATTTTTTTTGTCCTTTTTGAGACCGGCCCCACCGCGCTCAGCCAGTGAGCGCTGTGAGTGCACCGGTCATCCCTATATAGGATCCGAACCCACGTCCCAGCGCCGCACTCTCCCGAGTGCGCCATGGGCTCGGCCCTGACTAACGTATTTTAAAGTAGTTATCTTTTAATATGAAGGCCATAATTTTATTATTTTTATATTTCCATTTAATGGTGGGGGTGGTCTTCTATTAACTGAATGGTATTTCTGTTATAGGAGTCCCTCAGCCCCCCCCAAGATTAGAAAATAATGAACATAAGGCCCTGGTTTACTTAACTTGGTGTAATACAACATCTTATATTTGTTTAGCTATTTGTATTAAAAAGCCCCCGCATACACATATTAGCCCCTTTAATTCTTATATTGTTAAATGGGTTTGAATGATTTGTGCAAGATCAGACAGCTGACAGATAGAAAGGTTAAACTTGATGGGCTCGGCCCTGACTAACGTATTTTAAAGTAGTTATCTTTTAATATGAAGGCCATAATTTTATTATTTTCATATTTCCATTTAATGGTGGGGGTGGTCTTCTATTAACTGAATGGTATTTCTGTTATAGGAGGTGCAGCTTTTGTTGCAAAGCCTCCTGCTTTGACATTGTTCTGCTTGGTAATTTAAAGCCTTGCCCCCTGCTCCAGGGGTCGCTTATCACTGTCGCCTTTATACTCTGGATCTCTTTTTCCCCCTTCCTGCTTTCAGGATGAGGCTGTTTCTCAAAGTAGTAAAAGGGCCACACAGTGAAGGCTGTACCCCCAGGTTTGATTTCAGAAAGCTTTTATTCAAGTTAATGACAGTTTATTCTTTCAAAACAATATATTCAAGTATTACACAGAGTTCACTATTGTTCCATAATGTCATATGATGTAATGCTAAATGCTGGTGGGTGATCTGCAGAGGCAGTGGCTGGGCGAGTTTGGGGCTATTTGTATGACTGAGGTAATGTTTGCATTTTTAATAAGCAAGCAGACTCTTTCTTTGGTCTTAACTCTTTTGCATAAATATACCAGAGTATAACTTATGCTCTGTAATCCAGATATCTGTTCCTCTTTTTTTTTTAAGTCAAAATGATTTCTGTTTTTTACAGTAATCTCTGAGTTAGCAATTTATTTTGACATGTAAAGCATTTAATAGGAAATGAAAAATTAGAAAATTAGAAAGTAGCAGTAAATGGCCATGACAGAACACAAAAGTGAAACATAGATTTGATGTGTTAGTCAGATTCCAAGGGGTTAAGAAAGTCCTATAGATTTCTTACTTAAAATTCAACCACTCATATTTTTTAATGAATCCCACTCTATTTTATATCATTCTGTAGAAATGTAATATTCTCTGGCCGGCCCGGTGGCGCACTGCTACAGTGCGCCGCTTGGGAGCGCGGCGGCGCTCCCGTAGTCAATACAGCCAAGTACTGTTAAATTCAGCGTGGCCCATCTTCCGCTTATGTGTATATGTATTCATTTCATTTGTTTATTCAACAAACATAAGACCGTATTTTTATTAGGTGAATTATACTCGAAAAGAATGTGTTCTACTGTTGAGTGTAGTGTTCTATAAATGTCAGTTAGGTCAAGGTGTGATTGGTGTTGTTCAAATCCTATACATCTTTACTGATTTATTTAATTTTATCATTTACTGAGAGGCATTAAAATATTCAGCTATGATTGTAAATTTGTCTATTCATTTTATTCTGTCATTTTTTGCTTTATGTATTTTGGAAGTCTATTATTATATTCTCAAGAGAAACCTTCAATATTGTTGATGCTTATATGTAAAAGTTATAAAAATTACTTTATTCACTCATGGTGGATGAATATATGCATACACACACACACAAACACACACACACACACACGCATATGCATGCATATGACATTCTTTGCAACTGACCTATCATTTTTGTTACTGACCTTGGATACAGTGTAAGAGATTGTCTTGATGTCTAAGGAGGAAGGGACTGTCCTTGTTACCTAGGGAAGATCAAACACATACAATGTAGATGCTTAAGTGGTGCTAAGCAGCTTTGTTGGCAGTTTGGGCGTTAAGAACATGATGCATGTGAAGTAGATTTTCTAATTAAGAAGAGCCCGGGACTTTTCTTGATAAAGCAAAATCTCATGGAACACCAGTAAATGCTCTTAGATCACATGGAACGTTGGGAATTAGTGCTTGAGATTGTAGCTGGGAAAGAATGAAGCAATGGAAAAGGGTAATGAGGAGACCATGAGAGAGCTAGATTTCAAATGACCAGTTTCATCACATCCTTCTCACTTATTCATCTGTTATCCAGATAAATAAAATAAAGGTAGGAAGTCTTTGCATTCATCAGACATCTGCCTCTACCAGCTGTCAGACCTTATCATTACATTGGAAAATGGTGTGCCAAAGGTGGGGACACAAGAATGGATCTTAATCAGAGTCTTCTCTGAGTGGCTTAAAGGTAACATCTAAGCCCAGAGTTGATCATAAGTCTCTTTTCCCCAAAGCACCGTATCTGGAAAGTTGATAACTTATTTCTGATTACCTTGTAGATTTATTTGGGTGTGTAATAGCTCTTCAGCTATTAAACATGGCTGGTAATCAGCAAAGTGCTGATCTTACTCAGAAGAGAAAGAAGTACCAGGTGAACGGTTGTGTTAAACCCAAATGAGAAAGTGATGCCATCTCACCAGAGCAGCTTCACTTTTTTCCTCATTACAGTAAATCTCTGTGTGCCTGTGTCCATTCTTGTTTCTTTCCTTTAAATCTCAGAGGTGTCTGTGCCTTTCTCTGATTAATGCCTCTGCTTTTCATTCTTTCCTCCATTGCTGGGACTTCACTTCTGTACTTTCTAGCATCTATCTTAATGGTCCTTTTCCCTCTTGTTCAGATATATAAATCTTTCCATCTATAAAACAGAAAAGACAAAAGATACTTTCTTTTGACTCCATTGCCCCTCCTGGCTGCCATGCTTTCTCTTTTCTAATCTCTGCTACCAAACTTACTGCCTACATGGCCACTACATGCTGTTCCTGCATCCTTTCTGCCTTTGTCACTCTCGAGGTTCTTATGGACAGCCTCTCATTGATATCATTCCGTCAATTTTGCTTCTTTGAAGGGTTACTAGTGCTCTTTCGTGCCTGAAGTTTTCCTCAGTCCACATTATCCTCTTCTTTTCCATATTATCATGGATTTCCATCCCACTTATTAAACCTCCCTTCCTTTAGCTTCATGGCCCTTTCTCTCCTCATGGTATTCTGGTTTTTCTGTCTCCTCATTAGCCTCTGTTCTCTGCACAGCATTTGGCTAGTGCTGTTTGGGACAACCAAGGTTTTAAGAGCCTTAAGTATTTGGAAATATAGACATCTAGATGATTATAAGTCTGCATCATCAACTTCAATTTCTTGTCCTGTTTCTCCAACTGTGAACAACTAGTCAATACAGCCAAGTACTGTTAAATTCAGCGTGGCCCATCTTCCGCTTATGTGTATATGTATTCATTTCATTTGTTTATTCAACAAACATAAGACCGTATTTTTATTAGGTGAATTATACTCGAAAAGAATGTGTTCTACTGTTGAGTGTAGTGTTCTATAAATGTCAGTTAGGTCAAGGTGTGATTGGTGTTGTTCAAATCCTATACATCTTTACTGATTTATTTAATTTTATCATTTACTGAGAGGCATTAAAATATTCAGCTATGATTGTAAATTTGTCTATTCATTTTATTCTGTCATTTTTTGCTTTATGTATTTTGGAAGTCTATTATTAGGCATGTACACATTAATGATTATTATGTTGATCTTTTCATCATTATGAAAATGTCCTTCTACCTATGGTATTATCCCCTGTCTTATAGTATAGTTTGTCTTGTATTAATATGGTCACTCTAAGCTTTCTTATGCTTAACTGTTTGCATAGTACAGTAGTCTACTCTTATCCATGGGGGATATTAAGTTTCACTTGGTTATGTTCCAAGACTCCCAGTGGATGCCTGAAACCACCCTATATATACGAGGCATGAATTTATTTTTCCTTCTTCACAATTTCACTGATAGAACATTCATTCTTACTGTAGATTTTAGCAACCTCAGCATACAATTTTTTTTTCTTTCCTTATTAATTCTAGAACCTTCACCTTTTCACTTAAAGGAAGCACTTTACAGATTCTCTTTGGCATTTCTGAATTGCCAGCATCACTATTCTTAAGCTTTGGGACCTTTATTACATAAAATAAGGGTTA